TTTACCAGTGTTATAGAATATTACAAAGTATAACATAAAAATAACAATATCTGCATATAATGACTATTTTATATCTCCCTTCCCAGTCTTATACACCTTATTGCTTCTCTTCTTGCATTGTTTTAGATATTTCATACATTGTTAGAAAACAGTGCTTGTCCTTACTCTTTCTGATTTCAGTTCCAATTCCTCTAAAAATGCAATGTTATGTAGGGTTTTTTTTGTTGTTGTTTTGTTTTGTTTTTATTGAAATAGGTGCCTTGCTATGAACCTTGTAAAACTTACCTATGGAAATAGGTAAATTTTATTTCTGTCCTACTTCATAGCGTGCGTTTATTTCCAGTGCTCTGTGATTGGTGTGTAGTCCTTTGATACCACAGGGCTTCGCCCCCCGCCCCAGTACTGGGGATTGGTTTCATTTTTATTTATTTTTTGTAGTACTTGGGATCAAACCCAGGGCCTCACAGATGCTAGGCAAGCAGCCTACTTCTTAGCTACACCCCAGCCTCTTAAGTTTTACAAGGTTCATAGCAAGGCACCAATGACAGAAACCACTGTAGTTTCTTCTTGTAATTACAGAGGATAAAGATATATGAATGAATAAGTTTGAAGGTATTGTATTGAAGCTTAATTGTTTTCACTTAATGATGTATCTTCAAGATCTGTTTTGTTTTTGTTTTTTTGAGACAGGATGTCACTACGTAGATTTTACTACAGCTTCATGTAGGTTTTCCTTCTTTTTGTCTGTGTGTAGATTCGTTTCTATTATTTATTTATTTATTTATTTATTGGTACCAGGAATCGAACTCATGACCTCAGGCTTGCCAGGCAAGCGCTTATGCCACTGAGCTATACCCCAGCCCCTCATTTCTATTATTAATTATGACAAAGAATTTACTTTCACATTGAACTTTATAAAATGGTTTTAAATCCTGATGAATTTTAATTTTAACATTTTATTTAAAATCATCACAACTATGTTCTTAGAAGAAGATACGTGTTCAAAGTTAACTTTTCTTCTACTGCCCATATTTATGGCATAAAAGTTTTCCTATATTCTTTTATTGCTGTATAATAAATTGTCCAAAAACTTAGGGTCTTAAAACCATAATATTATCTCACAGTTTGAGGGTCAGGAATATAGAAGCAACTTAGCTTGGTGGATCTGCATGAGGGTCTCTGATGAGGTCAGGTCAGCTCTCTGTGGTACTACAGTCGTTTCAGATGAGAGTGGATCTGAAAAATCTCCTCCCAAGCTCATTCATGTGTGTGCTGGTGGACCTCAACCCCTCACTGGCTCTTGGCCATTGCACTAGTTCCTGCGAGCCACTTCACAGATGACCTAAGTGTCCTCAGAACATGGTCACTAAATTCCCCTAGAGAAAGGGGATCCCAAAAAGGAAGTTGCAATCTCTTATCACATAATGTCATGAAGACACCATCACACCGGCAATATTTTGTTGATCACACGGACACAAAAAGAAAGAATATGGATATGGGAGGGGATTACACCAATGCGTACAGACTACGTGTGAGGATGACTGGGGACCAGCTTGGAGGGTGGCTACCTCACCCACCGAATAAATAAAATAGCTCTTCCTTTTTTTATTCTTCTCTGAAAAGGTTAATTTAAGACAACAACTTGCTGCTCTTGGAGCACTGGTTGAAAGTAGTAAGGAATATTCTCTTAATCCAGTGGTTTTTTCCAGGAATTAATCAAAACACAATTTTGATTTGTTGGGAATTTTGTGTTTATTTGTTTTTATCATTATTTAACCAAGGTGTCTCCCTTTGAGTTCATAGAGCACAAAGAAACGTGAGGCAAGGTTCCCATCCAGCTTTGGTTACTTCTATTTCATGGAGTCAAGAATACTGCCTTCTGCAGTACTGGCCAAAGCATGTTATCAATATGACCCACAGTGGAAATATGCTTAATCTAAGACAAAAGAAATGGTGCCTTAAGCTGAAGATATTGCTCAGCAGCACAAGTGCCTGCCTGGCAAGCACAAGGTCCTGAGTTCAATTCCCGGTACAAAAAAGAAAAAAAATGGTGTCTTGGAAAACAGAAGAAACAAAAGACTCAGAATTGCTCCAAAGTCAACAAGTGGCCATGATTTGTGAAGAATATGCTCTGTCAAAGCATATATATAGTAAATAACACTGCTACTTGCTATACCCATGTCGCATCCCTCTAATGCCCTAAAAATTGTAAGAAAATGACTTTTGTTGCCAGTTTTCAGATGAAGAAATCATATTTAAAAAATAAAGTCACATGTACATGTATTAAAAAGCAAGTACTGTCAGAGTCATGATGTAAATTCAAGGCTGCCCATCCCAGCAAGCCTGTTTCCTTCTACTCCATATCATAGGAGAGAGGCCTCAAATCCAACATTTCCTTCAGTGCCTCCCACCTCAATTAATCACAAAAACAAAATGTACATAAAGAGATGAGCTCATTTCTTTATTCACAGGTCAACCTTATTTCCCAAAAGCCTATGTGCCAAGAGTTTGTTGAAAGGAGGTGGTGGTGGTGGAACCAAATCCTTGTCATAGGCTCCAAACCTGGGAACAGGAAGGGAATTCCCAGGCCACACACAGCATAAATCCAGAGTCTTGCCCAGGTGTCGGGAATCAAGCTGTAAGAGAAATTCAGAGAAGATCGTCAGAACAAGAACCAGCCAAATCATTGCCACATTCTGCCTCACAAAGATGCCCCAAGATTGAAAGGCAGTGGTACAGATGAAAATGTTTTGGTATTGGGAGACTAAGCTCAAGTTTCACTTCCACTGTAAAAACTAAATCTCAGAGAACTGAACTACGTTGTTCTTAAACACCAATGTTCCTTGGGATTTTGACCATAGTCGTATCATGTAAATAACCCAAATAATAAGTGTTTCACACACAGCATTGTACAAACAATGCCAGTTTCATCATGTCTGTTTTACAGATAAAGAAATGAAAATTCAGAAAGTCATGTGCTCAGGGCCCTCATGTGGAAAGGATAGGACAGAATCAAAGCCACGGGGGATCCAGTGGAAATCCATGCCCTGAGACCTGGGAAACAGTGCCCTTGAGGGACAAGGGAGTCAGGCATTCACTGTTTGGAATCGGGGGTCTCCCTGACCATGTATCTGGATCTGCAGAGAGTTGATGCTGAGAAAGTTAGAGGCAGAATATCAATCTGTCCCAGTCCTCTGCTTACCTTACTGAGGGAGAACGCAGGTTTTCCCACACATGCCCTTGCAGCACTTGAGGTTACCCTCACACTGGCTATCCTTCTCACAGAAATTGGGGGGATTAAGCATCAGACATTCAGCTTTGACTACTGGGCACTTCCCACGCTTCTTCCTTGCTGCAAAGAGTAGAACCCCAGGTCAGAGGCCTTGTACCTTAGACATCATCCCACTGCTGCACCAGCCTGAGAAGGAAGCATCATTTCCACCCCAGCCCCATCACCATCACCTCCTCCCTAAGGCATATCCTCAAATAAGACCTGACTCCCTTCTAACACCTCTACCCCAATCAGTGCAGGTGACCAGCTGTCTAGAGTTGACTTGATGGTAGCTTCCAAGTGCCTGGCTATTTGAGCACCCAGATAGTTACCTGGGAGACAAGCCTCCAGACATGGGCCGCTTCAACCAAGTGGCTAACTTCCTGCCTGGGGTAACATGGCTCCTTGACTGGCTGACATATTAGGTTCAATAGCCCTTAGAAAGGAGGAGGCACCCAATCCCATCTCCATAGATGCTGGGTAGTCAGGCTCACTCCTTTCCACCCAGGTCTTCCACCCGCTCACCTGATTTTGAAATGTTGATAGGATCCAGGCAGCTGATGCCACAAAAATTAGGGCAACATCTTTTTTTCCCCGGACACTGCCAGTCACTGTTGCATTCAGGCTCCTCATATCTAAGACACATGGCTTGTTTTCTACGAGGGCAGGCTCCAGCTTTCTGACCTGAGAAGTTCAAGAAGTCAGAAAGGGGCTGAGGGCTGAGGAGCTACCACAACCCTTAGAAAAAGCATCACTTTCCAGGAGAAGAGAACCTCACCCTGGGCGCCGTCGAAAAAGTCCAAAGAAAAATACTTGTCTGACTGCCAAGAAAAGTGACAGGTTTAATTCAACCAGAAATACACAAAGGAGAAATAACAGACCCAGTAACAAGATAGAGGACTGCCTGTCAAGGTCTTTCACTCTAGGGCAAAACAAAGTTACACAAAGTCAAAAAGAAAGCCTGGAAATGACAGAAATCAAGAGATACTAAGATAAATGGAACTAGCATAGGAGATGCTGAAAACTAAAGCTAGAGTAAGGAAATAAAGACTAAAGGACAGAGAGAGATAAAGGAAGAGACTAATAATTGGAGGGTCACAGATAGGGTCAGAGTAAAAGAGATTGCAAGAGAGAGAGAATGAGAAAAGAGTGAGACCTGGGCAGATGAGGTGGCTGAGAAACAAGCATTTCCAGATGCTCAGAAGACCTACAGAGGTCTTGGAGTCCAGGTGAACATGTATGCCACCCTCAGAGAGGTCTCTTGAAACTAAACTGAGAGATCAGAGCCTAGAGAAAAGGGCATACTCACCCCACCAAGAGCCCTCGCCTCTGATGGCTCCAACCAAGATTGGACCAGGGTGACTCCAACTTACTTTTTCCAGAACCTTCCACAGTCAGTGCTTCCAGAATTCCCAGGGCAAGAAACACCACAACGAAGAAGAGGCTCTTGGACTTCATGGTGAAGGCAGGTGGCTCTGATGACTGATGTGAAATCTCACTATTTATGTCTTTACCAGTGGGTGTGGCCCCAACAGCATGCTTTGGCTCCTCCCAGCTGCTATTGCGTAGGCAGAAACCAGAAGTTCTAAACCCAGACAGATGATGGCCCTGGCCCTTTCTTGCTTCAGATAGGACCATGAGGCCTACAAAGTAACTACCAGAGAAGAAAGAGAAGTTGGCCTGGAAGGGGTAATCAGGCTAATAAAGAAGGCCATTCCAGACATCTGAGGCCTGAATACTGTGGAGGCTGCAGACCCACTAGCCTTGTAGGTGGAGAAGGTGTGAAAGAATTTAGTTGTAGAGGTGCCAGCTGGACCAGGAGCTGACACAGGAGAAGGGACTCTCAGCTGTGACTGTATAGTACACCCCCAATTCTCACATTCCAGGACTCTCTGGGATTGTGAAACTCCCTTCTGATTGCGCATTGCAAGTTCCTTCTCAGAAGTGCAGATGACACATCACTCAACCAACAGATGTTTATTTTTCTGAAATATTTGCACCGTTATATCCCCAGTGCCTGCTCTATGGCCGAAATAGGGAAACCACTCTCTAAACAAATGAAAGATGCACAAGGGTGAAATTAATATTATTACATTTAAATTAATAATTTAAGTTCAATAATGTATATTAATTAACTATTATAATATATTAATTAAATTATTAATAATCCCAAAGAAATATATTCAGGAAAGAGCCCTGACCTCAACAAATCTCTTTGGAACTCAGTTTTCCCAGCCGTCAACTGGGAGGATACTAATAGCCCTTCTCAGAAGTGATGAGATTAAGGGTGTTTTTTCAGAAAAAGAATAAAATCATGTCTCTTATTACTAAAGACAGTTGAAATGAATCTGAGATAAAGGGCTAAAAGCCACTTACCGGTCCCTGTAATCAACATTAGATATGATATAATCTGAGATTTTGAAGGAATGCTTTCTGTACCCCAAAATCCCCTATAGCTCAAAAGTGACAGCAAAACCTTATGGCTGCTTCATATTAAACCTATTCTACGTACTTCCTAGGCTACATAGATTGCCTCTAATTCTTGAGGGTGATCATTATCTCTGCAATTCAATGAAACTCCTCTGACCGCAAAGTCAAAGCCCTCACCCCACCATCATGTGACCTCTTGATGTTTGGAAAACTCCCATTCACCTGTCAAACTGAAGATTTGTGGAAATTCAAATAGCTATGCAAGAGCCTTGTGTTACAAGTAGTAAAGATTCCACATGAAGTTATTTGTTAAGTATTCTCCGGGCAGTCACTGGCAGCAAATCCCTTTGTACAAATGTAATTCAGTGGCTTAGATTTTGGGGAAAAAACAGAAAATTAATATGGAATGGGTACCTGTAATGAACCAAGTACGTTCACTCACAGGTAGAGTAACCGGTTAGGAAGTAAGAGAGAAACAGAGGGTCTGACTTCCAAGGATGGGCAATATCACCAGCAGGTTAGGGTTTTTGTTCTCGTATGTGCCACCCAGGGAAAATCTGATTCCCCTCATAGCTTCCCACTCTCTGTTTCTTATCTTACTTAATGCTAAGAGACTATCTGGAGGTTTCCAAATATTTGTTTCTTAATGAGTGAAAAGGAGAATGCCGCAGCTGGTTTTATTTCTGTGACTGATTAATTGATAAATACCAACTCTTTCTCATTGGAAAAGAGCCCTATGAGCAATTAGCAATGTCTTTCATGGATAACAGAGGAGGATAGTAATGCGTGACTCTAAATCCTTAAATCACAGAATGTTAACATGGAAGGGGAATTTGGTTATCCAGACCATGATTAACTAACTAACTATAGTACCTGGTCTAAGTCCAAAAAGCTTCCTATTTTTGTTTTGTTTTGTTTTGTTTTTGAGACAGTGTCTCACTTTGTAGTACAGGCTGGCCTTGAACTCACTATGCAGCCCAGGCTGGTCTCAAACTTGTGACAATCCTCCTGCCTCATCTTTCCCAGTGCTGGGATTATAGGCACATACCACCATGTCCAGCATGACTTTCTATTTTTAAAAGTGAAATTGGATTGAGACATAGCCATATATTTATTTATGAACTGTATGTGGCTCTTTTCCCACTACAGTGGCAGAATTGAATAGCAACATAAACCTGAAATAATTACTACAAACCTTAAAATCATTACTACCTGGCCCTTTACATAGTGTTTGCTGGGGTTAAACACATAGCAACTTCCCGGCTTACAGTAAAAGAGACTGACTCCCTTGGGAAAAGTTACAAACCCAAAGTTACATAATAAGTTCATTACACAACACAGGTTGAGCTTTGACAAAACAGGTTATTCACAGGCTGATCATCTGAACTTGTTTGGTAGCGGACACTCCCTCTCCTAACCCAATCATAACCTGAGATTTACTTGCTAACTCTATTTCACATACTGTCTATTGCTTTCTAGAAACACTATATATTTATTCATTCATTCATTCCCACAAAAGTCATTTAATAATGTCTTACCCCACGCTAGGTATGGCAGGAGACCCTGAGGCTACAATAAATGAGACTCATAGAGTTAATACTTCAAGGTTGTTAAGAACCTGAACTTTAACATCAGACTTGCCTGAGTTGGCAGAAAATCTCCAAGCTTCAGTTTCCTTCAGCTATAAAGTGGAAGTAGTGCTTTCTATTGTGTCCTATAGTTGTGAGTATTTGGCAAGCACTCAGAAGTGTGCGGTCCTTTCAGTAAAGTAGACATTGATTTTTATTACAATTGAGTTCTGTATTATTAGGCACCATGAGCTGTCTCTAACTACAGTCTTAGTCTTCCTTATCTTGCTTTGTTCCATTAAATATTGTACAGAATCTCATTCTGTTCATGTCCTGGTTCTGTTTCTCTGGAGAACCTTGACTACTACAGCCTTCCTGTCTTCACAATTCCCACTACCATCTGTTTAATGCTAATTACACTATTACTTTTGAGGCTGCATCATCATTTAAGCCACTGAATCCTGGCTTCTAATTAATATCTGAAGGCTTGTTAAAGTGGCTCCTCCACAGGGCCCACCAATTTGAAAATAAAAAGAGGAAACTGGCAGATGGAGATTACTACATGCACATTAGCAACAGAGGGCACCCCAGGCACCTATGAGGGTCTGCATTCTCCCTATAAATGTCTACATACTTTGAGGGGAGGCAACACTAAGTAGACTCTTAACTTATACTTCATGGGTGAAGCAGGTCAGGAAGTGAGAGGACCATCTCATTCACACGACATTCACTTACCACAGCTCAAGACTGACCCTAGAGAGCACAGGTGAGAAACCAAAACATTTTTAAGAAAAAAGATGTCAATTGGAAAGATCTGTTGGTTGAAAAGCCATGGTGTGAAAAGTCCGAGGGAGGAGATGAGAGCAGCCCACGCTACCAGAGCCTACTGAACAGATGAATGCGCCTGGTGCCAGCAATGGGGAGAGTTGTAGAGGCTGGAGAAAAACACCACAGTGGGGAGAAAGGAGAGCTAAGACCCATGCAGGTCTCAGTCCAGTCTAGGAGTGTTCTGCCCCCTGTAGCTCTGGTTGGCCTCAGGCACTGAAGGGAATGGACAGTTTTGAGGAAGGTGCTCCAAAGCACAGGGCTCCTGAGGTGTGAGGCTAAATTTCTCAGGTCTAAGGGAGATGTTTTTCAGTTCTTTTCATCCTGATAGCAGATACCACACTTAGCCTTAGCTAAAATTCACTAGAAAGAGAAAGGGAAAGAAGAAAAGAAAAGAAAAGGAAAGAAAAAAGAAAAGAGGAGGGGAGGGCAGAGGAGGGGAGACCTCCTTCAGAAGCTGAGGCAACACCTGCCTTTCTCTGGACCCTTAATTCCTCTATTTGTCCCAAGACAGTAATTGTGACTCTAAGAAACAATTTTTCCATGTATCTTCCCAAGCCATAAACTCACCCCAAGAGCCTCAGGCAGTTTTATGACTATTACAGTCACCATTATAACTTATCTTTAACCATTCCCTGGAACAAAACACACAAACTATTCAGTAATGACCAAAGGGGCCCAAGAAACCGGGAGATGAAGTGTGATGGGAAGGGTGACAAGGAGGAGTAAGGTTATTTTACAACTGAGCTACATCCCTAGCCCAAAATGTATTTGTTATTATAATTTTTTGAGTAAGGTCATTTTAATCACCCTTGGAGATGTGGCAGCCACATCTCCCACACCTTAGGAATGAGTGGCCCATCAATTTCCTTCTTAGCATTCTCGCATTAAAGACATTTGAATTTTTACAAGATTTGAACTTCTTCCTAAGCTACTCATAATATTCCTAATAAAACTGGAAAAGAAGTGTACTTTTAGGGGGAAGGACAACTGCCAGCAAAGCACAATATGAACAAAAGAGAATAATATCCATCCATCAAAGTAGCAGCAGGAGGAAATAACCAACAAAAGCAGACCTTAAATGTGTTCCTACTTGGGTGCCCATCCAAGAGGTTGTGGGTTCTGCAATTTATTTCTTCAGACATTTGTCTTACTAGGGGAAGGCATCCATTTACTCTAAAGTTAATGCAACAGAGGCTCTGGCAGGTCATGAGGGAATGTTTTAGATATCTGGTAAGACAAAAAACAAAGCAATGTTGGACACTGAGAAATGCCAACACGCCAACATGACTACAGTGCAAGGAAACAAAGAAAAGAAAAATTGAATGATTAAACTCTACAACAGAACTAGAAGCAACCTAGAAAAATGTTTCTCCAAATCACTAGAATCTGACTTCTTTTTGCTTACATGATAGCATGATGTCCTACAAACATCACAGGTTGAAGTTAGTCCCCTCGGTTTTGATCTTGGCTTCACCACTTAAGATTCACATTACTTTGGGCAGTTATGGTCACCAGGAACACTAATTGGGAACGCCTATACTCAGACAGTCATAACGTTCAGTGCTTTGCATGCTTTTACATTTAATTCTCACATCATAATAGGCATGTACTAGTGTGATCGTATTTTTAAAATGAACTTTGGAGAAGCTGCGTTTGAAGGAT